AAAAAAAAAAAGACAGATCTGAAAGAACTCAAAAAAAAGGGCAAAAAAAGAGAAGGATTTATGTGAAATGCAGTTCAGAAAGGTCCAAAAATATTAAAAAGAGAACTTAGAAGAATTTATGGAAAATGCATTTCAGAAAGGTCCACAAACATTCAGAGAACGTAGAAGAATGTTCAAGTCCCCGCAGGCTGCAGCTAATGATCAGTGGAACGCAGAGCCCGTTTCCCGGCCGGTAATCAATTCTTTCCTTTTTTGTAAAAGAAAATACAAATTAAAAGAATTAAAAACTGCATTTCGTCAAATTTTTTACGATATCTTCAATTTTTTGTTTATATATGCCTCCAAACAATTGGGGTCCTTCAACTCCGGTTCCTTCCCACCAGCAAGTCATACATCTTCACTTGAAATTCACACACACACACACACACACGCACACACACACAGAGAGAGAGAGAGAGAGAGAGAGAATAGGGGGGAAGGGGTTGAGAAGGGGACACATATTTTGTGCCATACCTGACAATGTATGCATACAGGATAAGCTGCATGAGCCCAAGCAATGATCCTAAGAGATTGGGCAGCTGCGGCAATCACAAAAGAAAACAGTGTCCGTTTTTTTGTGAATTCATCCAAACTGAAGACGCAGAACAAAAACAAAAAAAGGAAAAAAAAACAAGACTACTCTGCGCTTGGGGCAATGATCCAGTCCATGAGGGCTAGCCGACACATCTATTGCTGGTTGTTCCAAAAAAAAAAAAAAAAAAAAAAAAAAAAAGATCATCCAAACTGCAGAAGCTGTGTACTCAGATGGGGAGGTCATAATAGGATGCTATCATGCCTACTACCCCCTTAAAAAAAAAAAAAGGGGAAAAGAAAGAAAGAAAGAAAGAAGCAAATTGCCGAAGAGGCCTTGACGAGCAGCCTCCGGGACTTCATATCCTCGTGTCTGGGACTTCATAATCGGACACGAGGATATGAAGTCCCGGAGGCTTGGCCCGTCGGGGCCTCTTCGGCAATTTGCTTCTTTATTTATTTATTTATTTTCCCTTTTTTTTTTTTTTTTGAAGGGGGTTGTAGGCTAGTAGCCTAGCCCCTAACATTTTAAGGGGGTAGTAGGCATGATAGCATCTGAGAATAGACACCGACGGCCTTCTACATTTTAGGTCGGGGAAAGAGTGTAGGTAAAGTGTACTGTTATGACCCTGGCCAATTTCGAGATACACATCCACTGGAAAGTACAATGCCATCCAATTGCAGAAAGAAATGAATGAACTTGAGAGGAGAGAGAGAGGAGTAGAAGAAGAAGAAGAAGTAGGAAAGAAGAAGAAGAAGATGTACACCAGCAAAGACAATGACAAGGCTCTTCTTCTTCGCCCAACAATCTCCTCCTCCTTATCTCCCCCTTCTCTTATTCATACAAGAAATAA